GCAACTCCTACGCCTGCGTTTGATACAGATACGCAAATAATAATTCCAACTATCCATAATATTACGATAATACTAGCCGCGTCATTGTTCAAGTCAATTCGCTCCCGTTCATATTTTTAACGGTGACTTGCTATGGTAATTCGTTGAGATAAGGTGCTCGTAGTTGGGTTACGTACGCGTTACGACGCCGTACGGCATGGCAAATAACACGCTCGACAGACGGTCCGGTTCATCGACGGAAGAGCCGTCGCGTCGCGTCGTCGTCCGACAAATTCTATTCTTTTCGAGCGGTATTTGGTCTGCAACCCTCCGAGCGTCGGCGGCTAATGGATTCGTCGCGACGCGCGCTGTTTATTCAAATTGGCTGCTTCTCCTCGACTAGGCGGGAGGGCTGCCGACCACTTGGCTCTTCGCTGCGCCCTGTGCCGTGCCATCCTCCTCGCGCTTTATTCCGAACCACGGGAATTCGAACCGAATACAAGACGCGCCTCCGAACTCGCGCGCGACGACGTCTCGAGAGGAGCAAACTAATTATCGGTAATTGCTCGATAATTTTCAAATCGAGTCAACCCGAAAGGTGGATTCCACGGAAACCCTAACGCTTCGCCATCGATCGACGCCTACCGCCCCGGGTGTTCACGATTCCCCGATAAATCCGCGAAAATGCTCGATGTCCGCGTCGAGGACCAAGCTGTTTACCCAGGCCCTCGAGACGCCGATCGATCTACAAACGCTACGCGTGCAAACTGCCTACGCGCTTCCCTCTTCCTCCCCTTTATTCCGAAAACGAGCCTTCCCTTCCGTTTCTCGGCGATCCGCTTTACCCCTGTCGGTACTGTGCCTCCGCGAGACGTTGGCTAGTTAAAGAAACGTGGATCCGATCGACGCCTAGGTCGATCCTCGCTCTAGAGTTTGGCATAGGCGAGTGTACGATTTTGAGTGAAAAATAAAATGAATGATCGGAGGGCGAAGGCAGTGAAAGTGTTAATCGACGAATCAAGCCGAACCGTTTCCCGGCGATTCGAAAATGCGACTTCGAGCAGAAAGTTTGAACGAGTTTTCTGGGAATTACACGTAATTAGGAACAAGCGCTTCCAAAGTTCTTTCGGATCCCGGTTCGTCGAAACCCCGAACAGAAAAGGGTATCGTGGCCCGGTCTCCGTTTCTCCTCGACGGCGAGGAACGGTGTTCGCGACTCGTCGACCTACTTCCTTAGCCGCGCACACCGCCTCGATCCTGTTTTATTTTCCCGGCAGCCGAGGCATCCGCGCGCTTCGACGGAATTATTGATCCGCGCCTAGAGAGTGCATCGTCTCGATAAACTCGGCGCGGAGAAAACCGTCTTCCACGAGCCGGGGAGACGTTTTTCGACCGGGCAAAAGTAGAAAATTTAGTATTCCCTGCTCTTCCTCTTTCTGCGCTTCGTGTCTCGTTCGTTCCTGCACGAACGGGAAATAGAACGAGACGTGCCAGTCGCGGAAAAGGCACGCGACACCGCGCTCACGCCCATACGTGTCCTCGCCGGTCGTTAACCATTCTGCAACCGAGTCTCTTTCCCACCGAGAAAAACCGCCTTCGTGCGATTTCCGTTGGTATATTTGCTCGACCACCGATAGCGTGCTGCCAAACCTCGATCTCCGAGTGATCGCGTTCTTCCTTTTTACGCCAAACTCGATGGTTCGCTTTCGGACCAGCTTTCGGACCAGCTGGGGAAACAAAACACGAGGAGCATTTCGTACGCTTTGGGTGCTCGAGCAAATCATGGCAAATATACTTGACACGCTTTCGTTCGATTCTCAGACGATTGTTTCTCATAATTCGCGACTTTTATCAATTCGTTTTTTCGCAGCGTATATCGTAACCTCGTTTACCCTGTACGGTTTAATAAAAACGATATTGTTAAGCGAGTAGAATTATATCCATTCAGATTTCAGTATGAATAGTAACTTTTAGACGGTGTGTCAACTACTGATTTAAAATATCCGCTGGATTCACATCGCTTAAAGACATTCGTAGCGTCTTTAAACACGAATAGACTCCGTTCCTGAAAGATTCTTTTCGAGGAGGACGCGAAAAGCAATTTGTTCGCCCGGTCAAGTATTTTCCGCCTTTTAACGACAAAAGGAAGAAGCGCGGTTCGCAATTATTTTAATAAACGCCGTCTCGTTAGTCGGGGCTGGAATTGGCACTCGAATCATCGGGACACTCGACGGGAGTCCTCCGAGTAAAAAAGAAATTCCTCCCGTGGACAGAACCGGAAACACAGCCGCGAAGGCAGCGAAATCGAGTTCGGGTAAGAACGAAACGATAGGAACAACGCCAAATCGAATCTGCTTTCGCGTTTTTTTCGGTTGCCGTGATAATGATTTTCTGGAACGGGATGGCGCGACCTCCTTTTCTTGTTCGAGGTGTCCACGAAGGGTGCACCTTACGAAAAAAGATATGAACGTGAATATCCCTCAACTTTCTGTCGAGATCACCCGTCTCGATTTTCCACGGAAACTCATTCCCGACAATTTCTAAATAGAATACAATAGATACACGTATAGTTGGTAGAATTCGATGGAGAATGGAAGCAGGAAGCTGGGCGGAAAGCGATGGAAACTGGTTGGGGTACGAGAGGGTTCGGCGACAGAGGCGCCTATAATTGCGTTCCATCTCGTTAAGGTTCGTCACGCGTTGGCGCCACCCAAAGGACGCGTTAACGAAGCCTCGAACCGAAGATAAATTTGTAGGCGCGAGGATCCAGGGAGGAGGATTCTTCCGTTTTAGGGGAGGCATTAGCCGCCCGTCGGTATGGCCTCGGGCCAGTTGGAAACGGCGCGAACGTCGTTCTCGAGGGAGTACTAGATCGCGAAAGAGCTTTTACCGGCTGTCAGAAGAAACGGCGACGAGCCGACCAAAAAGCCAATTTTACGCGCTCCCGTACACGTGACCGTGTGAATTTCTCAGGGAAGATTAAGGACATGTGAACGATGGCTGGTCGAACCACCGAATAAACTTGGAATCATCGAGTTACCTCGAGGGGGCGGAAAGGAGACACGCGATACATTCGTTTTATCAAACGACCCTCGTATAAACGCATAGTTCCGAAAGGTGCAGGATCCACGGTTCCGAACATACGCTGCGTAAGATTCGGCGATTTCATCAACTCGCTGATAAGGCGGAAAGGAAGGAGCGCGTCCGAGGGTAGTCGGGCGATAGTTCTTGAAATATGCAAACGACTTGGTAACGTGTTCGAAACGAACGCGCTCGGAGAGCACGTCCGCGTCCAACGAGTCTCGCACGATCTTCGCGAAAGGAACGCGAGACGTTTTTCATAATTTAACGAACGTGACGAGTTTACGTTCCGCGGGGTCTTGGCGTTCGGCAGAAAATATGCATCGATTCGAATATAGCTCTCGCGTCGCGCAATCGTCTGAAAAGTCCGTCTCGAGATCTTGGTGCGAACAGGACAAGGAACGGAGTTTTAAACTCTATCTCTTTCCTCTCCCCTGGATGTAATTTAATTAACGCTTCCGGCGAAAAACAAAGCAGCGAAAAAGCTCTTCCTACCCGCGCTTTTCATTGTAGTCTCGTCTCTGGAATATTCCTGAATACTTCCTCACCCTCGGCTTTCCCCGAGCACGGTTCATCTTGGAGGATCAAGCGCGGCAAAGCTTTTACTGGAAAACTAGGCGGAAAAACGAACGAACCAAGAGCCCGTGGAAACCTATAGACTGCAGTCCGACCGCGAGTAGGAAATAGAATCTCGAAACTCGAACCTCGGGGCTCGTTGGAAGAACACAGAAACAGACCCCTTCTCGAGAATTAAACTTTCTTGTTCGTGCATTCCCGTTTCTTAGCGCATCTCGAACCTGCCTCGAACGGAGTTTGACATTCGCGCCGGAAATGGGAACTATCGAACTTCCAAATTTCAAGGCGACGCTTTTGGCAACCGAAACAGCAAGAAGCAAACCTCGCTAACCTCCGGCAACATTTTCGTACGAGTAGCCCTGAGAAAAGAAATTGGTTACCTCGAATATCTTTCGCCTTGGCGAGTCCTTTGCAAGGCGGAAGCCGTCGCTTCTCGCCAATATTTTCACCGAGTCGAGTAAAACGAACTCAAGAATTCGAGGTACGGAAAGTTCGAAAGGGCGAACAGAAGCTTTTGAACCGAGCTACCGCAACGAACGATGAAAAAATTCGTTTAGGAACCGATGTGTGGGTAAATGTTGATAACATTGTACGTTACGTTTAATGGAATAGATCGAATTTCGGGACAGACCGAGACCTCGTCAATTAGTAATGGAACTCGCTCGAGCCGACGAATCGAGGAAAGATGCAATTCCGCGGTCGACGTAAACTAACCCTACCGTTCAGATTCGCCATGGCAACGAACAGACGAGGATCAAGGGAGCAACGCAAAGGGATTATCTTTGTGCCATTAGCTTTTGACGCGACACCGGAACCTCGTGGCTTGCATATTTGCATAGATCGGCAAAGTTGTCCCGAATAGCTCGTTCGGGCGTACAAACGCGTCTTAAACCGTCCTCTCGTCTCCGCGATGTAGCATCCGATCGATCCCTGTTTCCGTTTAACGCCAAATCGGTCGGATTTCATCGGATAATTAACCGACATGTGTCGCGAACATCCCGAATGGAAACGATCCGAGTCCTTTCGACGCTGGAAATCGAGAAATCGTACCTTTCGAAAAACTAATAAAGGAAAGGTGCTCGATCGTTTCGCGAGACACCGAGAAATGGAATTTTGAAAAGTATTCCGCGGCGCAGGAGAGCGAGTCGCGCTGCGCTTATCATCGGCTCATGGTCACGATCGTTTTCCCGCCAAGCCGTTCCTAGGATAACCGGTCTTTTGTGGCGAGTACTCGTTAACGAGCGACGGAACAAGGTGCGGCGCAAACAGTCTCGTGAAAATTATAAACGAACGCGTGCGTTTTTCCCGCGTTGCGCTCGTCACGCGGTCGAAAACTTGGATCAGAGACTCGCGAGACGCAGCTGCGCAAACATCGCGGAAAGATCTCTGGCGGTTCCCCGGGAGGTTCGGTATATTGCCGTCGCGATAGATCGAATCAGTTCGCGAGCACCGCGCACGCGTTTTTCATTTGTAATGATAATCGCGATAAAAAATTCCAGCGATCGGACTAGTTTTCGAACAAGGTAAGAACGAACTTCTCCTTCTCTTCCGATGGTCGAACGATCGATCGGCGATAGTCGATCAAAGATATCGAACGCGATCGCGGTTTCAGTTCTGCTCCCGCGGCTCTTCGCGGAGGACCACGCGTCGATTAGTAAATCATTAGTTTCGCCGGTGGTAGCCAAAAATCTCGATTTCTCGTGCTGATATCGATGAAAAATAGTTGCAACAATGATAACAGGGAGCGTTAGACGCGCGTTCGGTTATCTTATCGCGAGAAAATAAAATATTGGTAAGAACGTTGGCCGGGCTGCTCGAGTTTGCACCGGAATTAGCCTTGTTGCGACGGTTTTCCCAGATTTCGAAATTTTCAAGGAAGGTCGATGTTTCGATCCACCGATCCGACCATTCGTTTCAGCGCTTTCGAGCCCCGCGCCCTGACCAAACGCATCACGAGACCATCCGTCGACGATATCGGGTAATCGTTGAGCGCGACTTCTCATTGAACCTGCTGACCGAAACAGCGCACCGCAACAATTGAATCGTTTGACCCGTTTTTATTGGCAAGTCACACCAGTCGCGAATGGGAAGCTAGCCAGTGCACGAGCCACTTGCTCGTTCGCAGTAGCACTCGCGGATCGAATCGGTGAATTTCTCGCTACGTTCCTCTTTACCGATTATTCGCGTCGACGTTACTGTTCGAGGAAAGTTTCATTCGTGACTCCGAATAAATCGAAAAATAATACCACGATCCGATCGGAAACAACTCGTTTCAGCGTTGGAAGAGGAAGACAACGATCGACCGATTCCCTGCTGGAGCGATGACGGACGGAAGAGGCAACGGCAAAATCCCGACGATAAGTGGTGAGTCTTTCGAAACTATTTGTGTGATTATATTCTCTATTTGTATACAAGACGATACGCGGTTGCGTAGCGTGCTCGGAAATTTTCAAACGATTTAAGGTACTTACACCCGATAAGAATCGCGCTTTACGTAGAACATATAAATAAGTGTTTATCTATAACTGCATCGTGACTTGTACGGCGAATTTAATTCCACTAATCGTACGAACGTGTTTACCGATTGTATCAACGACACTATTTATATTTCCAACGCCTCGACGCACGAATTCGAACCATCGTTTTTTTTCTACTCTTATATTCCGAATCGTTTTACTTTTTCCCCCCACACTTTGTATTTTTGTTTTATATTTGGTGGTTCGCGCTATACATATCTGGTCGAAGGTTTCTTCTGTCAATAATAATAATAATAGCGGTAAACGTTGCGCAACCCTGCATTTGATCGCGCAATGCGCTCGTTTGCATGTGATTTCGCTCAAGTCTGACGTAATTTTTTAGCTAGATGCGACAATGTCAACGTCGACGGAGCTGAGGATCTCAAGAAGGCGATATCGGCGACAGGTCAGCCATAAGTTCGCGTACCGTCGGTGGAAGAGACGACACGAACTGCGCTTGTCGCAAGTACAAAGCAGATTTTATGGACCGCGAGCACAGACTGCGATCAAAATTAAAACCAGCCAGAAAAACAACGATCGCTTGTTCGCGCCGGGACGGGAATAGATCGAAGGAAACGTACACGCAGCGCGAACGAAGCGCCGAGCCGTCGGGGAAGTTCTATAATTCAAAATTTTCGCGCCAAACGTACAACGCGGACCAAGAAGATAAAAACACACAAAATTGAATTGTAAAGGTGTATCGTTTTCGAGTAGCCAGAGTAAACTATCGCGTTCGCGTTCGTCGAATCGCTTCCACCGACCACGCGTCTTCTTCGAGCGGAAGTTTTCGCAATACAGTACATACACACAATACAGTAATACACGGTTATCTTTCGTATGATTTGACGACGATCTAGAGGAATAATCAAATACACAAAATTTGATTTCCCGTGGTTTTCATGTTACTTGAAAGTTAATCGTGTAAATTTAAACGGAAGTGGACCGTGGATTACTGTATCCGCGTGTTCGTCGTTCGCAGGCTACGGAACTTTAAATGTGCTGCTGCTGGTGGCAGCTCTGCCAGCCGCTTGGGCCGGAATCTTCGACACAACCACGACTGCCTTCATTTTAGCCTCCGCCGAGTGCGATCTGCAACTCACGTTCTTCCGTAAAGGCGTTTTGTTGGCTATTCCATTTGTAGGTAGAGTATTCTTCGATATTTCCAATTGAAAATATTATACAAGGAAGGCCAACATTCCTTAATCCTTACAATAAATCGAAACCGATACTATAACTGGTTTTAATCAGTTAGAAGATTAATGGATATCGCTATCAATAAATACCACCTTAAGTAGAAATAACGAATTATGGGCCGACGCGTTAATCATATTCGATCGCATGTTCCACAACATTCAAACGCGATTTCTTCGAAAATCTCGGTGGAAAAATTCTACGCCACTCTGTCGATTTGTTTTTACGCGAATGTCGTTTCTCAGTTTATGCATTCTCGCGACTATTCGTTTGCAACGTGCGCAGGCATGACACTGACCAGCTTTTTATGGGACCACATAATACCGTACGTCGGAATAAGGAATCTTTTCGTCGTCGGGCTTCTGGCAGACACAGTTCTGAACGTGCTCAGTACCGTTGTCGACTCGTACTACGCGTTCCTGGCGATCAAACTCCTGTGCGGCGTTCTGTGAGTATCGCTGCTTGATTTCGCGACGCGTTCGAGTTACGGACACACGTGCACGAATTTTCAGCGTCGGCGGCCCGTTTTCGATGGTGATGACTTACTTGTCCGAATTTCATTCGGCACAGTACAAAGCGGGCTTCACCAGGTGGGCGGGACTCCTCGTGAACGTGGGCATCATAATTCCGGCGGGTAAGCCATCGACGATCCAGGTTTTCTCAAAGGTTCGCCTTCTAACGAATCCATGTTCCGTCGCAGTCGTAGCGTTTCTGGTCTTGCCTCTGCCTCTGACGGTCGAGATATTCGATCGACGATACAACAGCTGGCGAATCTACTTGCTGATCTGCACGACGGTGCCGTTGATCGGTCTCCTCACGGCCAGCACTTTGCCGCAAACTCCAAAGTACCTCGTGGAAATCGGCAGGCCCGACGAAGCGCTGAAGTTGTTGCGAACGATGTACTCTGTCAACAGGTGGGAGTCGGCCGATACCTTTCCGGTAAGTCGCGATTTACGGATCGATCGATCGATCCGAGCTAACCTTCCGGTCAGCCATCTCTTTCGAGTGAAAATTCCCGACGTGTTGGCTAAACGTTTCGGTAGAATCGCGACTCGTCGCAGCACTGCGTTAACCTTCGATAAATTAACGCGCGCGTACGTTTCCGATAGGTTTTCGAGTTGCGGAAATTCCCGCGGTTTCTCTTCGTTCCGCGTGATACGAACGAGCACGAGATACGCGTACCCGTCGCCTAAACGAACGACGCGTTTTATTTACGACGGTGGATCCAGCGAAAAAAGGTGGCTGGACGCGCAGAAACGAGACGGAACGGAACGAGGAACGAAGAGAAAATGCAACCGGCGCGGCGGTGCCGTGAATAGTATTTTTCGGGAAATAGAACGTTTCGAGATACCCGTCGGGCAGCGTCGAACGTATAATTCACTCGGGGATCCTGGGTAGCATCGCTCGCATTGTTCCCCGTGTTTTCGTTCCAGATAAAAACGCTCTTCGCGCGGCAGAATGTGCAGCTATCGCGGTGGTCCTTATTCAAGGAGAATTCCGAAAAACTACTGCACGCCTGCTACAACGCCAAACAGCTATTCTCCGGGCCGTATTTGCGCCCCGTTTCTCTCCTCAGTTTCCTCCAATTTGGTAGCATGCTGGCGTAAGTTACTCGTCGACGCGATGCGTTTCGCGCCGTGACCCACACGATGGACTTTTTACTCTTCGATCCATCCCTAAACGTTCGCATAGATTTAACACGATGAGACTATGGGTGCCGCACATGTTCATGATTCTGAGCAATTTCGACGTCGAGAGGTGGACCGAAGATCGGCCGCCAACCATGATCGAGATGCTGGACCCTCGAAAAACCGTGCCAGCCAGAGATTATTTGAGCTGTCCGGATTTCGATGATATTTGCATGACGGTGAGCATCTCGCGACAAATCGAGTATCGTGTCAGCTATCGCTGCTATTATTGTTCAAACCGTAATCTATCTATAATTAATTACGCCAATTATTCCTAGTCGTTTCGATTTCAGTGGAAAATCAACGGGGCGGTGTATCAAAAGTCTGCCATGATCGCGACGTCGGCGGTGGTCTCCGGGTTTCTCTCCGGATTGATAGCTACCACCAATTTTCGAAAAAAGATGTTATTACGTAAGAAATTTCGATCTCTCCGTCCGCGCCACCTCTGAAGCTTATCTAGAAACGGACCTCTAACGTTCGATGTTTTTATGACCAAAGTTCGATCGTGTTTTTATCGACGTTCATCGGCTCTTGCATCGCGAAAAATGTAATCCGATTATATTTGCCGCGATTGCTTTCAACAAAATAATTGCACTGCAATTAAATTGTAATTACACGATAATTATCGTGCATTCCTACGTAATCGTAATCGTGAATCATTAAACCGTATAAATACCACGTAAATTATCATGCAATTATTATTTAATTACACTAGAATCCCAATGCAACTATTTTGAAAAAATAATTGTGACAAATGTAAATTATGTTTTGCTTGACCATGCATGACGACGATAGTAAAACTTACAAGGGAAAAGTCAGTGGTATGAAACGCCGATTTAAATAAAGTAAACGGTAGGTTTATATCCGCGAAAATTCTAGGTACAAGATTAGTCGAATATACAGGGTGTTTTCAGGTAATTGAGGTGGACCACTCTGTATATAAAATCTGGGAAATTCTCTTGGTCGGTATGTATTAGTAATTGTACCGTTTTAACAAGACCAGTCGTGACGGAATTACAGAGTAAGCTGCGTGCTAACTTTTCGAGCTAAATTCAAATTCCGTCGAAACGTTTTTTACGCTTTATTAACTACAACGTATCATTTTTTTCATTACCGGCAAACATTTTACCGTTCAAAATCAGTATAAAAATATTCCATATAATTGGGTAAAATTTATTTTACCTAGAATGGAAGTATAAATTTTCACTAGACCATGAATATCCGAGAGAAGATGGTTTTTCGTATTCTCATTTACAGTTGCGTGTATGTGGAGGAAAGTTGATTCCATTAATGTCATAAAATATTTCTCTACCAGCACTCTACTTTGAAGCGAATCACGGGGATTTTATCATTTTCTCGTGCGCTTGTAATTAATGGTATATCAAAGGACGAATTTTTATCGCGTCCTTTCAAGATGCGACGATTTTAACTTTGCTGAATAATGTTGAGGTCTGTGGCCAACGTGTAAAATTTTTAACTCGATCACAAACATTTTTAATAGAGAAATCGACATCGATCGTCCTAAAGAGTCCGTTTCGTTTTTTTCACAACAAAAGCCCATCGAAGGGCCTAACACGAAATATTGTTTACAGTGGCTGGTTTCCTCGTAGCGATGGTAAGCAGTTTTGGAGCGAATTGGGCACAGGCTCCTCTCTACATGCTGCTACTGTGTATCGCCGTTATCGTCACGACGAGAGTAACGGGTAATATCGTCACCGCCATGAACACCGACGTAATTCCTACCCTGCTAAGGTAATTCCCCCCTCGCGATACGGACTTGCAGTCCCGTTGCTTTCTACCGTGTCGTTCTTCCGATTATGCCGCTGCACGCAAATGATCTAATCGCACGAAACACCTTCCTAATTCCTTTTCGCGATGCGTCGCGAGAACTACCCTTGTCGCTACTCGCGTTAACTTTCGCGCATCTTTCAACACAGATCCACCAATCTTAGCATCCTGACAGCCGTTGGGAACATAGGAGCTATTCTAGGGAATTTAATATTTTCCGCGCTATTGGGATTGGACAGCGTCGTTGCATTCCTGGGCCTGGGTTGCCTGTTGCTTGGTAAGTGAAACCAAAGTCTGACTCGAGATTCATACACGCGCCGTTGTTATTTTACACTCATTTTTATTTTATTTCAAGGGGAAATAGTCTCACGATATAATAGTTTCACAGTAGTTTGAGCAAAGAGTTTCGGAAGGTGTTTACAGAGTCAACGTAAAAGTCTATTACAGCATGCAAGTAGTTTCCTTTTTATTTTCTACGGGAATGCCATTCGCGAGGAACGAAAATATCGGTACGATATCGTGCCAAATTACGTTTCTTTCGAGCAATTTCTACGAGCCCACGATGCACTCGAAACCCAAATCCTACGTTTCACTTTCGCGTATCGTCTGTTTAGCCTGCTTTTGCCTGTCCTTCTTGCAACCGGGACCCGTGAAGCCGTCGCCGAAAACTATCGATCAGCCTAGTGTGTGATATGCCAACGAACAAGACGAGAATAACTACATGGCCGAAGCCTACGAGCTGCGCGAACAAACTCGCAGTCTTCCATTCACCGTATCCTAGAACCTGTCGCGAGTCGGAGTACAACAACCTGCTTGCGAGTTCCAGATACGTTACTCGCCTCGCGCTACTACAGCCATTGTAATTCATTTTTATGTAATTTACTTAGAAATATATTTTTTTAACTTAAAAGCTACACGTGTTTTGACTTTTCCACTTCCCAAAGACGATACAAATCGTTCACCCATCCTCCAAACTTACCGATTTTATAAGATTCGTGTAACAAATAGATCGTAAGTATATGGAAAAAAGCGCCAATGAAAATCTAATTAACGCGGTACATCGGTTTGCGGAACGTTAATAATGCGGTTACAGCGATAAGCAAACCGCGGCTATTCGCTGCGGAGCTCATTGCGCAAGGCGAATCGTTGTACCGGAATCGAAGGTTACGTTCAACGACGCTCTATTAATTTTGCGCCAACGCGAAAAGATAATCCATCGTATCGTAATGTTAATTGCTCGGCGCTCGAAACGTAGGAGATATTTTTAACAACCCCTACGCTGGTCGACGATGGGCCACGGTAGCGGAAGGTTTAGCCGGTCTATTAATAATTTAATACCTTCGATATGCATTACCCAACGATTAAATTAATGCAAACGCGATAGTTTCTCTTATTGCCCTCCATTTGCGAGGAGATTTATGTTCGCTCAAAATCTCGTTTTACCATTTTAATTCACCGAATTAATGCTGCCCAGCTTTATAACATTGCAATTATGATGGTGACATTAAGACAAATATATTGGCGTTTTTTCCAGATTGGGATGACGAGAGAATTCTAACTCTAAAAAGTTTCAGGTTGCGAAATTCACGAAGAATATACATAGAAACAGGATACGGTATCAGAAGCTATCTCCGTTTATCTCATTTTGTTCCTTCTAACAATTTATAATGAAATTGCGCAATCAAATTTTTTTTATGTATTGCGGATACATCGGGAACCTGTTCATCGACTGAGAATTGCTATAGCCATCTGTTGACGTCGCTTATAAATCAAAATGATGAGACAAACCAAATGCAACCCGTTAAACATACTTGTCGAACGTATTTTTTAACACAGACGAGGGATACGCGTAGATCTTTCACCCAATGTATTTTTCCGGCCCGTTTCTCTGGGATTTCGAGACCCTATTACCATTTCCGTGTCACTCGCAACGTTACCAACAGATTTAGAAATGAACACAAGAGGAAGTGAGAGAGAAAATGAAATTACAGAAATTTTACTATTTTTTAACGGAATGAAAGCTGTACGGTCCAGAATTGAGCATCAATCGATTAATTTAAGATTATTATTTGCGACTCGAAATCGATGTTATCAGACCACACACCGGGACGAAGAAGCTACGTGAGACTACATATAAGAAGAACGCAGCCATTAGCCCATATTATTTGCTATGTAATTAATAATTCTATTAATTACATAGTAAATAATATGACCCGGGTCTCACCGCGAGGAGGTTGCTGCGTATGGAGACCCACCCTAGCCTCGCCCCAACCACCCTTCCTTTGGCGAGGAATTCGAATATCTATCTAAGAGAGAAGCTATCGAAAAGTTAGACATGAGCTAGAAAGGAACAAGTTCTTAAAAGAACTGTCCAATCAAGAGATGAAAGACCTAACAAAACGTCAATACATGTGAGATGATACACATGTTTTCTAGAAACGAAATTGAAATGTGCCTAACAAAATGTTGATACATGTGAGATAAACCAGCACATGTTTTCGAGAAACGAAATTGGAATGTGCAACTGCACGTACGAACTCTGACCGATGAAGAGATCAAAAACCTAACAAAATGATACATGTGAGGTAAACCAGCACATGTTTTCTAGAAACGAAATTGGAATGTGCAACTGCACGTATGAATCCTGATTACTAAAGTATCAATGTGTACTTTATTATAAAGAATCCTGAAGGTCCAACCAGAAATGTGCAACTGCATCTTAATATTAATATCTTAATATTAATCATTCACACTTAAATTTACGCACACGTTTTGGTAATCCTTAATAAACGGCAGGAGAATGCTTTTTTATCTTATAATCTATATACATTTGTACTTATATTCTAACGCAATCTGTAGAAGCATGAAGAAATATCAGGAAACATTTTCTTCTTGGTGTCTTCATCAATCCCACGATGTTTTTCTAAAACATACACTCATATACAATAAAATATATCTCATAAAACAAAGAAATATGAAAAAATATTTCTTCTTGGCGTCTTGATTAATCCCACGATGTTTCCCTGAAACATAAATCAGACAATAAATAAAATTGTATGAAATATTTTTCTACGAACGATCAAGATGGAATCCGTGTACCATTTTCAATTTCATTCTTCGATGATTTTATATCCTGTAACAAGAACTTGTTCAAAGGATTAATAGCTGAAATGAAAGTGTATTAATGGACACAGAAAAAAATAATTATATACCGTCAAGATAGACTGAAGTTTCCACGAGCAAAAATTAATATTGAAAAGTTTAAAAACATAAATATTACGTAAAATTGAATGAAAAGATAAATTCGTCTCAGTGTTAAGATAAATACGAAATATCCATTTATCGAATAAAAAATTTTTCAAGACGTATACATTGCAATAACTATACATATTTTGCTGTATTCAAAACTAAATTAGGTTCATATAGAAAAACCAATAGCGAACGAAAATGTCGATTCTACGCGGAAATTAACTCTCAATATGAAATATCGAATTGCAATTTGCATACCCTTTTGATACAAGCATTCTATATTCCATCAATTAAAACAATGATCGCAAGCAAACTTTGATTTATGCAAAGAATACAAAATATTTATAAAAAAATCCACTATTTATAAATAACAATTAGGTCGAAAAGGTGATTATATCCCGTAAAAATGATCAACTCTAATAATGAATAATTGGTGATATATATATGAATCATGAATTTAATCTATGACACAATTAATTACAATACAGCATTTTTAAATGCATCACAAATCTGTGATCAAAATATATTCATAAAAATTACAGGTTTTAACGCGTTCTGAAGAAGGAAATAATTGGTCTATTCACAACAGTACTTTCAAGCAGTGTTTTCATTGGCAAACATATAAAGAAAAGGATATATTTTCCACTCATAAATTCAAAAAACAACCCGTGAGTGGATTTCTTTCGCAACGCTAATTTATAAAATAAAAAACTATACGCGAATGGTGCTTGTTATTCGGAAAACGAACCACACAGGATTCCTTTATTAATTAAATCGCGTGCACCCATATTCAATCATGCGCAACACTAATTTTAATAATGACGTTGAGCCATTCGAGGCTTTGCAGAATCTCTTCTTGCTTCTTGATGATCCTGGTGCAATGGCCAGCGTTTTGGGCATTGGATCGCAACTCTAATTGATAAAAAACGCGACAAGTCAAGATCGCAACGCTAATTTATAATATAAAAATTCCAAACGCGATTTCTAACAATAAAAGCAACCGCGAATGGTGATTATTCGCAACGCTACCCTGAAAAGTAAACGCGAAAAATAGTAATTCGCAACGCTAAGAACAAACCGATCGGTACGTTCGCAACGCTATTCTTAAATAACGATAAAAGTAATCGCGTATGGAATTCGCAACGCTAACCTGAAAAGGAAACGCGAAAAATAGGAATTCGCAACTCTACGAGCAAACACGATTATTGTATATTCGCGACTCTATCTTTAATGGAAATATATTTGTTTCGCAACGCTAATGCAAATCGCGTTGCCCAAAAACGCTGGATCAGGTGCTGGCGTCTTCGGTTGTAGCTAGAAACATACATGCACACAATAAACTAACTACATCAAGCTACTTCAAACTACAATAGAGTGGCACATATGGGGATGAAGTTAGACGTTTTAAATATCGCAACACTACGGGCAACAACGCGATAAATCAACAATCGCAACGCTAATTTATAATAGAAAAATTCCAAACGCGACTTGTAACAATAAAAGCAATCGCGAACGGTAATTATTCGCAACGCTACCCTGAAAAGCAAACGCGAAAAATAGTAATTCGCTACTCTAACAGCAATCGCGTTTACTGATAATTCGAAACGCTATTTTTAAAGCAAACACCCGATTCCTAGGTTTGCATAAAGCCAATCGCGAATCGTATTTATTCGCAACACTGATATATCAACGCAATAAATATTTGTTCGCAACTCTACGAGCAAACGCGAACATTGTATATTATTCGCAACTCTAACTTTAATCAGGGGCTATTGGTACATGTACATAGACATGTACTGGCCACAAAATAAACTAACTACTGCTAGTACTACAATTGGGGTAGAATTTGGGCATTGAAAATATCGCAACTCTAAAGAAAAAATCGCACGATTGATCAAGATCGCAACGCTAATTTATAGTATGAAAATTGCAAACGCGGTTGATGTCCATTATATGTATAAAAGAGTAAAAAAGCAACGCGAATCGTGATTATTCGCAACACTACCCTGAAAAGGAAACGCGAAAAATGGTAATTCGCAACTCTACGAGCAATCGCGTTAATCAATAATTCGCAACGCTACTTTTAAAGCAAACTCCCGGTACCTAAGTTTGCACGAAAACAATCGCGAATGATAATTATTCGCAACACTACCCTGAAAAGGAAACGCGATAAATAACAATTCGCAACTCTAAAAGCAAACGCGATTATTGGATATTCGCAACTCTATGTATATCATAACCGCGAGTTATGGGGAGGGATGGGCTGTCATGTATGGTGCAATCATGTACCATCAGGTACATGCATACGTGTGCCAGCCAGAAAAATAAACTAACTACAACTACAGACGAGTTAAGTGACAAAATAGTAAGAGGAATGACTTTCCATTCTCATCCGAGGATGAAGATGAAAAGCCATTTGTTGCAGCCCACTCTTGAGACAGTTTGTCAGGGCCTCTTCAGCTCATTTAGAGCCTTTTCTTTCTTCGGCGGTCCTGCCGATGCCTGGAACTTACTTAAGACCGGGCTCGAGATTTCGTGCAATACGTAGTCTTCCAACAATGTACGAATTGTTGAAAGAGCATACGTGGTCATCTCGAGCGGGACGAACGTTTCGAAAGGGACCTGATCACGACCGCGAGCGCGAGAGAGCGACTTTAAGAGTCGCGCGATTCGAGGAGTCGAAAATAAAGCCGAAACAAACAGCACAAGTACACCGTTTGAATCAGCAAAATTTCTACTCTCGAAATCGTAACTACAGGAACAGAACTGCCACGCGAAAACGCGCCTACCCGAATTACTAATGTGGACAGTTCTGCCCTGACCCTACCTACTTAGATTAAGCACACACACACCAGAAAGTTACCTACCTACCTAACCCTATATTTAAAAAATTGCAAAACTCAGTCTCTCAAACAAACACTCCACGGTTCTCATTCACAATGTCCGGGCGCGACCTAAACTAGAGAGGATTCCCCGGGGTTCCTCCGACACCCGGACACAATCTCATTCATACTCTAATTGTGTACGTACCAGTTTTTGCCGTGGACTGACAAAGCTAGTGCCTATTGCGTACTTTTATTATTTATGTAAAACATTTTGATATATCTAATATAGTCTTTATTAAAATATACTCTATATAAGATTGAAAAGCTAATTCATTATGCATTTTGCAATATTATTGACTAATATGCAATACGAACAATTGCCAAGTAAATAATAACTATGAGTTTAATATTATTATTGTGACTGGTATGAATCTAATGTCAAAAAATTCTGTATCTGAATTGTAATAAACTTTTGCAACGATGCACTTCCACATCCTAACCACAAACACACATATGTGGACAGTACATCGTGCACGATACACTAGCATTGTCAGTCGCACGGATGAATTATTATTATAAATGTTACAAACTAAGTCATCGTGCCCCGTTGCCTTCGCTCGTGCAAATAACACTTGGGCATGTGCATGAACTTAGGCAACGAACACGGAAAAGTATCCTGAAAATCCTGACTAGAAAGACTGGTTATTAATAATTAACTAAACGGTATCTATTCTCAATTAAAATGACTCGACTTGTTATATGTAATATATCAATAATAAAATACGATAATATTGAAAAATACTACTATTCGATAAAACTATTATAATTGAAATTGAATTATTTAAAATGAAAGACTCTACTTGAGATTTCATGATAAAAGAATTTACTTTAAAAATTGAAATGAATTCATTAAATTGTCAATCAAAATATTCAATTATCCTTGATCGATTTTGTCGTCAAAGTAAACTTTTTAAAAGACGAAACTAGTATAAAATGCATGTTACTTTGACTCAAAAATCGACCTGTCGCGAAATGCCTTCTTGCACGTTAAATCGCATGATAAATATAATGTTTTCACATTATATTAATTCATTTTCTATTCGATCATACAACTCGTATAAAGTTAAGAAAAATATTTCATATATTCTATAAAGATTGTATATTTGTAAAAATTTTATAATAATCATAATGTGTACTATTCATTTGTAACATTAAGAAACGCGAGTGCAAGAAGACCCTAAAACCTGCTCTAGAAAATATAACAGTGGATGTTACTATTCACTTAACTCGTCAAAAATAGCAAGTATACAACTGGTCACCCGTGTTGATTCGTATCTTTCATCCTACAACATGGTTGGGGACCAGAGGAAACAAAATAGCATGCGACTCACCAGTGATGACTTGAAGTCCCCGAAATCATCCATCAGTCATCCATCAGTCAGCATGGTCCTGCTGGTAAGATTCAGGTCCAGAGACTGTAACAAAAATGCAAGAAAACAATTAGAATCTATTGTTAAAATTATAGAGATTTTTAATTAACAAATTTCAAAGTATAAATTTATACTTACGTTGTTCGCTCGTGGTCCACCGCCCGATACCCCCCGGGTACTGCTGCTGGTTCCCAGGATCATGCTCAGAAACTGTAAGAAAACTGTAAGAAAACAATTAGAATCTATTGTTAAAACTGTAGAGATTTTTAATTAAAAATTTATAAGTATAAATTTATACTTACATTGTTTGCTCGTGGAGCATCGCCAAATAATCCTCTTCAGTGATGCACTGACTCTACTTCCGATAACGAGGAGTTTAAATTTCAAATTGAAAAAATAATTAATTTAATTAGAAAGTAATAAATTAGATTACCGCGACCGAAGATTCATATCGGCGAACAAATGATTCTACTATCGCGATTCAGAAAACTAGAAGAGCCACGATGCTCTGTAAATAATTTAATACCGCGTAAGAAACACTGCTTCTATTCTCGCGTTTGTCTAACATCGCGAACGATAACGTGCTTGGGGTCACTTTGCCCCGAAAAACAAACTTGTTGCTACGCACAATCACCGAGTCTACCGGCCGCATTGCGCTCGGCCAACAAATTTCCTGGAAAGAAAAGGGACAGGAGAGAAGAAATACAACAAGCACATCTGTGCTTTGCCTATCGATTTTTGTTTTTCTTCTTACTAGAGTTCGACAACGAAAACACTGCTTAACTTAGTACTGATGTATACATAGTTTGTCCCGTACAAAATCAATGCCACGAAGGCGAAATATTCTCAATCACAGAATTTCAACGACAAAATATTATCTACAGAAATAATTATCCAATTTATAAATATATATCACCAAATTTCATAATTAGAGTTGTAAGCATGATTATGTTTACTTTATCGCATGTTAGAATATCCCGTAAATTTTATAAATATTCCGAAATTTGCAAGAATTAAAGTTCGCTAGTTATTTATGCTTGAATAGCATATTTCAACTTCGCAGTTACTACGTTTCCTGAAACTTGTATCGAAATATGTATGCAAATTGCAATTACAACAATTCATAAAGAGATATAAACGATCAATTGAATAAATAATAGTCGGAAATATTTAATCGCGATCAGAATACAGTATAATATAAACTATTTCAATGTATCGTTAATATCTACCGACGCCATTTCTGTATACTTCGATATGTATCGAAGTAGATAAAAAGTTTGTTAATGATTTTAATGTTTTATCTTAACAATGACCGATTATAAAATTAAAATCATGCTTGCAACGAACGTAATAAAGCTATAATAAGAATGTATAAATATTAATATGAATGTTAATTTTTGTTACAATTGTTTCAATGTTACCAATCTTCCCTCCACAATTTGTCGACTCGTCTGCCATCTGTTATGGTGTCCTTTACGCGCCAATAAAACTTCCCATGGCGTCGAATTTCAATCAGAGACTGTAACAGAAACGAAATAACGATGCATTAAAATACACAAACGATTGTTATAATTAAGTAATGATTAAATGGAAACCGTATTGCAAGATATCGTAATTAAAACCGCGAGTAGTACTAGTGGAAAGATCAACAGGTTAGAAATACGCACCTAGGTCGCGGAGCGCCGATACGTCTTGACGTCGAAGTATGAGTGATGGCCGTTCGCTGTGCGCTCGGTAATGCTCGCGAATTAGGCGGCGCGGTGGGGGGAGCTCCGATGTCTCACGAAGCTTGCATTACGAACCCGAGAGTTGCCTGGGCTAGACACCGCGGATAGACTGATTTCAGTAAATTATTTACAACTTTAACTAGAGTCAAGGAATCGCGAATAATTCGTACTTTTCAACTCGTATGCATTTACACGCACTAGCTGCTGCCTATCACACTAATTCAGTGAGTTTCTTAACTGACCGCTATTCATGAGAAGAGGCCGCTAAAATCACCTCCGAATTTTCAAGTCGGTATGGCAGTCAGATTGAGACACCACAGACGAGGTATACGAGTAGCCCTTTCATCACAGACGAGGTATACGAGTCGACCTTTCACCTAATGTATTTTTTTGGCCCGTTTCTCTGGGGTCTCGAAACCCCATTACCATTTTCGTGTCATTCGCAACGTTACCGACAGATTCAGAAATTAATTTTAATCTCTTCCATAGTCAACTCACATGCATTTACGCAACACTACAACTGTTTGTCTATCAATACTAATTCAGTGAATAGTTTTTCAACTGACCGCCATCAGCTCCAAATTTTCAGGTCGGTATGGCAGTCAGATTCGGCTGCGAAAGTCCATAAGGTGAAAGGGCTACTCGATACCTCATCTGTGGTTTTAACACTATCAACAACTATTTTTAAAGTTATTTACCTCCAAATGCAAACGTATCAGAATACTTAAAACATAATAATGTATGATAAAGATTTAAGAATTAATATCCGCCTATGATAAGAAAACATATAATTCCATACGAGGTACAAATACATCCTAAGTGTATCGCAAACAAGTTATTGTATCAGAGACGAGGTATACGAGTAAACCTTTCACCTAATGTATTTTTTCGGCCCATTTTTCTGGGGCTCTAGAGCCCATTATCATTTTTGTGTCACTTGCAGCATTACCAACAGGTTACACAAATGAATACAAGAGGAAGTAAGACAGAAAATGAAATTAATTTTTTTCTCGAAAATGCATAGGATTTCGGGGGTATGTCTATTTACCAAAAATGATTGTAATTGACCCCTGCAATCGAAAATAATTTTTCCAGAATGATTTGAAACTTTTCAATTTCGCTGAAAAATTTGTTTCAAGATGTATGTAAATGTTGTCTTATATTTTTTTGTAGGTATCCATGAGCTTTACTTCCAGACTAAATTTTACTGACATACATTCACTATTGTAGGAGTTATGGCCGTTAGAAAATAGCGTTTTTTAATCCCTTCCGTAGTCAACTCGCGAAAACCACCTCCAAATTTTCAGGCCGGTATGGCAGTCAGATTGGGCCACGAAAGTGTACAAGGTGTAAGGTCTACTCGTATATCTCGTCTGTGTCTGCCACACAGAGCAATGTCTACTTGCATACCTCATCTGTGTTTGTAAACACCGATGAAACATAACCTTAAAAGATGTGCCGGTCGAATTTCCGTATTAAACTTGATTTGTGCAAATTTTACAACGATGTTCGTCGATTTTGTTGGATTTTTGTCGACGGTATAAAAATGTTGCAAATATCTCATATGATGGAACACATTACGAACCTGTTCAATATCAAAGAACCATTTCATTTGCTCTTAAATGAAACTGAATATTTGCCACCTAACGAAGATATTCGTGTTCTTAAGGAGAGCGAAACGATCTCGTAAGAACTTTTGGTTGTCATGCTATATAAACAATATATGTAAATAGTATATTGTTTCTATTAAAATATTACAGGGTTTGTCCAGGATCTGGACTTGAAATTGGATCAGAAGTATCTGCAGGTTTAATGACAGAAAGCCAGGACAATTTTGCAAAGATAGAAATAATTAATAATTCTGTTCAACATAAGGAATCCCAAACTAATCTTTTATTAGAACCATTAAACTCAATTCTGGTTCAAGACAACTTATCGAATGAAGTTATGAACAGGCCACAAAGTGGTACGAGAATTTCATTTTTTTTTCTTTATACTAAATGATATTCTATGTAAAATTTTCTGCATCCGTCCCTTTATTCGTTCTTAGATACTTTAGACACTAGTACAATATGTGATAGAACAGAAGATGAATTAAGCAGCATAATTGATTCAAAAACTATAGATATGAATGTAATGGAAGATATTAGTATAGAAGATTCTGTGCCATGTCGAAAAAGGAAACGATTGAGACATAGAAAAAAGAAACCCCAAGATGTTAAGCAATCTGTCACAGAGGAGGAGAACAAATCAAAAAAGCCCAAGATTATAAATTCTTACATTATTTCTTCTAGTAAACATATACGATTCGATAATGTGGATACGGAGGAAGTTGTGGTAAAAGAAGTTATTCATGGAGATACTATGAATGGATGTACAAATAATGCATCACCTTCTCATGAACTAGCTAATTTGTTGTCACTGGGCCAAAATTCTACACCTATTACTTTTTCAAACACAAAATTAAAGGAAGAGATAAAAATTGAACACACATCCGACGAGGAAAATCGACTCAATACTACTATTACAAATACAAATATAAATGTAGCTTTAAGTAAAAAGTTAGAAGAAGGAATAGAGTTATCGAGTAAAGATCTCAAAGCTTGTCCAGTTATGACAACAGAACCTCAAGTTAAAGACTTTATAGCCTTCAAAGCAAGTATATTTTGTTACCGATTGTACTAGCTAATTCTTATCATGTTTTTACATCAATTTAATTTTTAGATGCTTAAAATCGGGCTGGATTATACACCGCAAATATCAGAATTCATTGTAGCTGAAGTTATATCTTATTGCTCCAAAACAATGATATATACATTTAAAGTCGTACGTAAGTAATTCTTTAGTTTTTGAGCATGCAAATTAAGGGATTTTAAATATGAGTCGCATTATGATCGATCGTAATATTGTTTTTTACTTACAGAAGGTTTATCAGAAGTTCAGGTGCCAGTTGGAAAATTTACAGTTGTACAAGATGAAGAAGAACATGTCGTGAATGATACAATAACAGTCAATTCTGCGCAAATAATAGAGCCTAGACTGGTGTCTACATCTGATCAGGACAAAGTAGTTACCTACAATCATAATCACACTAATTAATTAGATGTTTTTTAAATACAGTATGATTGACAACATTACCATATTTTTTTATATTTTTGATGGACGTAAAAAATAACATGCCAAATAAAGTACTTGATCTTTTAATTAGTTAATATATTCGTTTTAAAAGATGATTCAACATTATCTGTTTTAGAAAATTAATTAATCCGATTTAATTTCATTTCACTTTGCAATATTAAGTCGCTTTCACACAAATAAGATGTATTTATAACGCGTAGCGTAAACGAACTCGTAATTTTAATTCTAGTAAAGATTTGTAATCGATCGTAATGGATCGATGCCTTTACTGTATCACTTGCTACGTTTGTACATTTTACGAATATGAAAACGTAAAGATTCAAGATGAAAATATATGAGAATATAAATATACTTACGTGTTGTTGGTTTTCGCTTGAAATAAGTATTGCCGTTGCCTATTTCACTCGATTTTTTAATTCACTTTTACCACCAAATGAACTTCGTTTGAAAATGAGCAACCATTGTGCATCGGGTGAGGTTGGATGCAACACTGTTTCGTTAGACTCGCTCTTATTGGTGGACGTCGATCTGATCTGCCAATGAGGTTCTACTACTTAGAAATGTGTCCGTTTTTTTGACAAATCAGCTCACAGTTTATAAATATGGTATGTCCATTACGCGGACTCGAAAATATATTATATCTACCTTTAGAATTTGTTTCTATGCCAGTCACATCGGTTCCATTACCAATCAATTGATTATCCTACTATCAAGTTCGACATTAATTATGTACTTAGTGAATCTTTGGCTTAGTTCTGCATAATAGGTGTAGCGGCGGGAGTTCTTCTGCGCTTGCGCAGAACAGAAAAGCAGAAGAAAGGGCGCCAATTCATCGGCGTATCTGTCGACGAAATTGAAGTTGTACCTCTAGAGCTCCAGAAAAATTGGCCGAAAGAATACATCGGGTGAAAGCTCTGCTCGTATACCTGGTCTGTGGTTGTACTTTCGCAAAGGTAAGTTGACGTTTGTATTTTTAACAATTAATTAAAATAAATTCATAATGAAAGTAGATACAATGAATTTGACTAATAGAAATATGTTGTACAATCTATACTGTTTCACAGTTTTCCAGAACGTTATGAATGATGAGAGTAGGATTCAATATTCTACTGCAGCTGCTTGTTAAAATGTGTCTCATTTTACAATGAACTTTTTTAGTTGGACGCTGAGCATTGTCTGTGGAACGAGAGTGTAGCAGCTATTATTACGAACTTCGTTGTTGGCTCCGACGATAAATAATTTTGCAGTGGAAAACTGCAGTGGAGCCTCGAACAATGGTTCGGTTTTATGATTTCGCGATACTTCTAAAGAGGCATATCCGCAGGTTGAGCTGTCGACTGACTATAGGTAAGTAGCAATAAAATATAATCCGACTTGAATAAATATTTATCGAATATACATGGTGTTCACCATCCTTGGGAAAAATTTTAATGGGAGATTCTAAAGGGCAAAATAAGACGAAAATCAAGAATACCAATTTGTTGATCGAGGCTTCGTTAAAAAGTTATTATGGCCTCTAGAATCTCCCATTAAAATTTTTCCCAAGGGTGGCCGAACACCCTGTACATTTAATTTACAATTCATATCGCATAATATATGTATACCTATGCAATATTCTATAAAAAACACAAGCATTGTTAAATATTATTCGTTAATTCTAGAATTCGATATTTGATCAGGAGATAGTAATTAGGTCTCCTATATGAGTAGTTCGAAATTTGTAATTGCGGAGAATTAATATTTTCTTAACTAGCACGACGAGTTAACGTTGACGCATGGCGTTCAAAACACCTGTTGTGGACCATGTTGCAAAGTCACATGTACGCAGCATGAATATTTTGAAAAAGAGTAATTCTAATCACACTTTTCGCGTTTAAATTTAATCAGTGATCAAGCTCATCATGTTACTCCGAAAAATAAGTTTTCTTACCAGTAGTTGAATTAATTTTATTATTTCGCGATCATTATCTTTGGCGAGAAATCTAACTCGTGAATGCGAATCGGATTAATTCCAACGTAGATGGGCGCTTTGCGTAATACGCAAGTTAATAGAAAGCAGCACGACTGTGCGGTTTGCTTCCGCGAGATACACGTATTCGCGTAACCGTTTCGGTCGTGCGATTAATAATAGTACCGAGAGAACTGCGGCATTGCTCGAAATTCTAGAGTTAATATCCCTTTACCCGGCCATTATACCAGGCGCCCTTTGTCCTTCATAAACGGTCGTTTAAAGGCTGAACGAAATCGAGTCGTATAATTAGTCCGCGAGAACTTCTGCTCTATTCCGATCCGTCTCCTGCTTTCTCTCTTGTTTCCTCTGGCTCGTTGATTGCCAAACTATTTCACCGCGCTACATCCTCTTACCCCTAGTACGCTCTGTCTTTCTACCCCTTTCGTCAGGCCTGAATGCTTCATTAGCCGCGAGCCGAATAAAATGAAGATTAACTCGATTCATAGCATGATTCTCGATATTATACGTCGTGCCATAATATTTCGCGGCCGCGGGCCATCCTACTACCGATTCTTCTCCTCCAATGCGATCTACGGCTACTAAATTTCGACGAATACAAACGCACAACCGTTACGATCCGTTTACACGGCGCGGTTTCTATTGTAGCCGCTGCTTTCGGTGAAAAAATCGTGTCCTGAAAACGGGCTGTTAATTTCAAAATTGAAAGAAATCGCACCATAGAAATTGCATGCTTTGTATCCCACCGGTTGCCTCGAACGCATTTCGATATTCGCGTCCACGCTTTGCATTGGCTTCCGCCGGTACGAACGGGATCGATAAATCCGTAGATAAGCGATATATTCGGCTGTAGTATCTGCAATAACATGCATGTGCCGATTGCCGGAATATATACGTATGCAGCTCGACGTATCGATACGGTCGTATTTTTGTTCGTTGGATGATTCGTTCGCGTTCATCGTTGACATAACTGTTCTCTATTAGCCCTCGTTCATGTTCCATCGACGTCACGGTTTTTTCGTCTCAGATTTCTTTCACGCCGTTTCAGACGGTCACGAAACCGGTTGACGGCGTTCCACCACAGTCGCGAATACGTAATTCGCCTTTACAAATGTTTGTGTTGGCCGAATAACGGAGTCTCGGTAATCCGAAGGTGAATAATTCACGAGATAAAGTGCAAGAGTAAATCCGCGGCTGGACTGGCTCTTCCGAGTCCATTCGCGGAAGGCAATGAATTTACTTTTGCGCTCCGAGGGTGAATTATTCATGGTTAAATTGCCAGCGGAAAAGTATGTCGCGGACGCTTAACCTCGAACTTCACGTTTTGGTACCCCGTGTGTAAGGTAACCGGGGGGTAACGTTGGCTATGGTTAAATTTATTCCTCGAAACAGAAAAGAACGAAAATGAAATAAATATTACGAGCTACTGTTATGTGCCAAAACTTTGTGTACCTTTTCGAACTTTTATCCGCACACGCGGTTGCCACGGAAGAAAATGTGCTATAAAATGTAATATAAAGATCTACCAATATGTTATGGCACACCATGCGATAAAGAGTTTGAATTGAAACCTACAGAAATCAGAATACAATGTGATTAAGGTGATCGGTAGTCGAGTTACATCGCCGGAGAAATTTAGCTCGTACAATAGCGCTTTCGCACAGCGAATTATTCGATAACAATTGTCGCTGGCTACGTAATTAGAACCATTCAAGCATCTCAATCGAAGCTTAATTCGTCCCTATCCTGTATCCGGGAATATTTACTCGTCTTTCGCGAATAAATGCTATTCACGTTGGAACGAGAATGTATTTGTTCTCGAAACGCGCGGGAAGCCCTCACGAAAACAGACGATCAATCGGAATCTCTTATCAAGAACGATTCTTCCGCGTTCCTAATTAGGCATTCGAAGACGCCAGGTTTCATAAAGTGAAACCTTTACTCTAAACGGCTATTTTTAATGGCAAACTATATACACATGATCTCGAACGAGCCATTTTAAGGCAGATCCAATTGTTTTCTACTACTCGTAACGCGATACGGGGTTCCTTCGCGCAAATTTGTCGGGCCTCGGGGCGAATCGTACAATTGGACAATGAACATGTATACGATGATTGCCTGTCTATACGTATACTCGCGAAAGCACATCGTCCGCGCAGGAAGTCGGCCAGATTGGAGGCTTCCAGGTCAGCCGGTTAACCTTTCCTGAAAATTCCATCCCATTACCGCGACGTGTTCGTGTGTGCCTGCACGCGTACGCGAATGGATTTGTACATGCAAAATAGAACGGTATTCCATGGATATTACAGCGAGAGGCTGTAATTTGTTCCCGTTGTTACAAGAGATCGTTCGCCGGCGAAAAGGGGGATGAATCTTGCTAGGTTGTCCGTCGAATGAACGAGAGACAGACTGAAAATTGACGGCGGTTGGATAAACACCTATGGGGCAAATTCATTTCGCGAAGCAGAACTTCCGCCGGGGGGGAGATTGCGACGGTTAGCCTGATCAAGATTCTGACCCCAAGATCTCGTGAAGCATAAACAGCGGGTTTGTCCGATATAAATTTCAAACGGCGAAAGTTCACGCGGCGAATGAAAGGGAGGTAAATTTGCCCCGTGAAAGCAACATAAAAATTCCGGAGTGTGTCGTAAATTGAAACGAATATTACTGCAAAACGTTATGGACGCTGAGTTATTACTCGCTGGAACAATACTTGTCCATCAGCGTTGCCTTCCCCGATGAACGAAACGCGTTACTCGCACCACTTAAAATTATGAAAGTTTCGGAAATCTTCTTACGAAGATTCATGAGTTCCACTAGAATTCTATCATCGAGGCAAGTTTGTTGGTATAAGAATTTGTTTCGCTATCGATCTACGGTAATTCTTCGTTCTGCAAACCGTAGATCGCGCGTTGATCACCAACGCTCGAGATCGAGAAGCGGGTTGCAATGAAGAATGGGTATCGTGAACCGAGCCACTTGCCCCTACGATGAAACGAATTCGTGTCAGCGGTT